CTGCAACGACGACGACTACGTGGGCATCGATCAGGGCTCGCAGGAGGGCTCGGGCGCCGGCGAAGACCGTTTCTGCGGCGGAAGGCTTTTCTACAACAATGTCGTCATTTGTAAGCTCTGTTTGAATAAACCAATGGTTGCACCGATTGATCCCCTCTTCCATTGACAGCGCGCTCCAAACCCTTCCAACTGAAGGTGCGCTCAAACAGCGATCAGACGGAAAACAACAATCACGGACAGCACGGTATGAATGCGCGGAAAGTGCCGCTCAATGGCCACTAAGTGTTGCTTTGTTTGCAGGCTTTGCGTTGCGTTACGTGCAGTTGCCGTGCGTTAACTGATGGATGCATCGATCAATTTCCACACAATTCTCGCAACACATTCACAAAACGGTAATCACATGGTCTCCAAGTCAACCACTAATCCTTTCTTTCTTTTATAGGCTTTCCTCTGCGTTCAACTGCCGAGTGTCCGAAGAATAGCTATTTATTATCATTTGCCAACATTTCCAACATTTCTCGTTATTTAAAGTCTACATAACTATTGAACTCTTTTCCTATATTCAGCAAAATCTACTCAACTTTTTAATTATGTTTTCTTAAGTTATTAACCGATTATTAAAAGCAATAAATTTGTCTCAAAACCGTTTCCTATTTATTACTCTTTTGTGCACTAATTAACAGTAAAAGCACTGAAAAGTTGGCAAAACTTTAAAGTCGTTTGCGTTGAAAGCAATCAACAGATGTCTCGCCATTTGTTTCACGACTTATGCGACGATTTGTTTACGAATTTCCACTCATTTCAGGATTTCATTGAAATTTTGGTCAAAAGTTGTGATATTTTTACGTTTTTTACACTTTTAGTCAAATTTATACACATTTTGTTTGAAGCGTTCATTCATTGCATAAACGACTCATCGATGGCTTCAAACGCGACGAAGAGTTGGTCTCAATTAGTGAGCCATAAATCGCAAGACAAGGACATCAGACCAGACATCAGACCAGTTGAGGACTACTCGCAGACAACGGCCGCAAACGACGTCTCCTTTGTATCGCTCGATGACGTGATGTCCGAAGAGTTGGCCAAACAGTTGGACGAAGACTCGCCCGCTTTGGAGACGACGGGAGCCATCGGTGGCGAGGATTTGGCGCCCAATAGGAGTCGAGAGGAAGACGTGAAGAAATTGATCGCAGAGTCGGGCCTCGACTTGAGTCAACTGCTGGACACCGAGGGGTAGGCTTTGGGTTATCTTTGAGTGGATGTCTGACCGGTGGATGTGTTTCAGAAGCGACTGCTCTTGCGATGAGGTTTTGGCACATTTGCTTCAACTGGAGTTCGATCGACAACACGACCACAACCTCAAGAAGGAGGAGAAGAAAGTGAATCAGAACTCAAAGGTATTCGTCGGACATTGCGGTCGATGTCTAACCGATTGCGTCCTCAAAGGTCGGCATATCTTTCGATTTGTACCGAAGAGTGAGAGGAGAGGCGTTTGAATCGGATTCCGACGACGACTTCCACGAATACGGCGAAGACTCGAAACACTGGGATTCGTTCGAGAAGTCGGAGCGACAGGCCGTCAAAGTGGGCCGACAGGGCTTCGCCGTCCGCAACGGAGTCGTGACCACTAAACACGACTTGGAGACGACGGCCCGCAAGAACGCCTGCAAAGCCATGGACTTCGAGCTGAAGACCGGCGACGGCGGCAGCTTTGATATGAAACTCAATAACAATGTCTACAACGCCCTCAAAGTCCACAGCATTAAGTGAGTGACTGTTTGTCGGCTTTCTCTTAACGATTGTCTCGTCTTTCGGCCCAAAGCGAAGGCAAACGAATGGCGCGATTGCACGAAAAGAAGGAGAAGTCGACCGCAGAGAAGGTTTTGGACGAAAAGAGTCGTATTCTGGTCTTCAAACTGTTGGTCAGTTTATTCGCAAAATTAACTCAAAAGAGATATAAGAGTTACATAAATACAACTGTATTACAGAACAGAGGAGTCCTCGACAGTATCAATGGTGTGATCGCCACTGGGAAGGAGTCTGTGGTTCTTCACGGCCGCGGATCGATGGCCGAGAAGGGCATCACGAGCACCGAAGTGGCCGTCAAGATCTTCAAGACGACTCTCAACGAGTTTAAGAATCGCATACAATATATAGGCAATGATCCGGTTCTGCACCAAACGAGTAAACTCTCGAAACAGAACCCAAAGTTCATGATTCCGTTGTGGGCGGAGAAGGAAATGCATAATTTGGTTCGTCGGCCACTCTTTTTTGTTGCTCTCTGTGTCTAACCTTTGCTCGCATTCAGAACCGAATCCGTCGGAACGGCATTCTGTGTCCCGAAGTGTTGATCCTCAAGAAACACGTTCTGGTGATGACTTTCATCGGAAGCGACGGCAAAGGTTAGATGAGTTCACTTACAGTCGACACTCGAGAGCTTAGCTTACAGTTAATTGATTTGGTTTCCAAAGCGGCGCCGACTCTGAAAGAGGCGAATCTGAGTGAAGAGAATCTGTCGAAAGCGTGGAAACAGGCGCTGGAAATGCTGTGCAAACTGTACAAAGACTGCGATCTGGTCCACGCGGACTTCAGTGAATACAACCTGTTGTGGCACGAGAACAGGCTTTGGTGTATCGACGTCTCGCAGGCCGTCCTCTCCACACATCCCATGGCCTTCAAGTTCTTGTGGAGGGATTGCAATAACATTCATAGAGTGAGCCATAAGTCTATGAGAAACAAAGTTCTAACGATTTGTTTGATTGAAGTTTTTTGCGAAACGCTGTTTACCTGAACTCATGTCTGCGTCAGAAATCTTTACAACAGTTTGTGGCAAACAATTGGACTCAAGTCTCGAAAACGAAGCAAATTCTGTGGATCTCTTGGATAAGGTATGAGTTGTCAGGGATTTGGACACAAAAGTGACGTTTGATTGACTTATAGATTGATAACTACGAGAAAAGTGAAGACCTCTTGAAATACGGTCTCTCAGAAAACGAGGACCCGTTCGAAGATATGCTGGAAAAGAGTGTCCGCGAGAGGACTAACTTAGAGCCCATTAAAGGGTCGCCAAAATCAAAATGACGTCAAATGTGTTGCAAATGATTAGTTAAGGAGTGAACGACTAATTGAGTGGTTTTTAGAGTTTTATGTTAAATGAATGGTTAATGAAGTGAATTGCGATTTAGTCTCTAGTATTGTATTTCTAACGAATTGTTTTACCGGTAATTTATTAACTATTTTTGCCATAAATTTGACAAATCTGTAAGAGATATTCGTTTCATTGTTTTGTCATTTGTTTTTTGAGAGCAATAATAAAAGTATTTTTGGAAATAATTTGTTTGAATTTCGTGTTCAGTAAACGATTCAATTATGGAAACACTTTACGCGTAAACCAATTATTTATAACAAAGCTTTAGGTCAACGACTTTTGACATAATTTCATTTTGACGACTGTTATGAGATCCGGACAGCTGTTGGTTAATGAGTGTAAATCATGACATCAATCGTGAGACCCATTAATAGAAATTGAATGCAATTTACAAAACTTCTTTTAATTCAATAAAAAATCATTACTTGTTTTTCATCACTAAAATGGCAGTAATTTTACACAAATTTCAATAATATGTTACATTAATTAACGTAAAAAAAGTTATTTTCATTTGACATCGAATTCAATAAATGTCTTTTCAGTATAATATAAAAAATCAATTAATGGATATAATACTAAATCTTATTGTAATCCCATTTATGATTTTAGATGAGTTTGAATGCCTGTCATTTCACTCAATTTGGTTTCCATTGCTGTGCTCTAGTAATACGGGTGCCTTCCCAACCAGCTATACAGGCAAAATAGCACAGTTGTGGGCACCGGTAGACATGCAGATAATGGAGTTTACATGATTTTGTGTGTCAAAGTAGTTGAGGAGATAATCTCTTTGCGACCATTAATTGGAATTAAAATCCATTTTCACTTCAATACTGTTTAATACTAATTACTTATTATTATTATTGATATTATTAATCAATTATGAAATGATTAATAAAATTGAAATACGTTTAGAAAAGGCGTGAAAAAAGAGCGAAAATGTAGTAAAAATATAATAAAAAATTGATCCATTCGTTTGAAAATGAGGAGAAAATTGGAAATAAAGTCAATTTAAAAGTGATTTGAGAACTGAAATGGAAAGAGAAAAGTGTGAAAATAAATATAATTCATATAATTCTTGGATTCTTATCACTGTTTGTAATTAAAACCGATTTAAAAATTGTAATCAAATTCTAAACAACGAAGAGTCGAACGGTTAGATCCGAGGCTTATATGTGAGCGAAGTATTCATTGGTTGGACATCACAATCGGTTGGTTCAGACTCGGAGCACATGGGAGTCTGAGCGCCGACCAATTGGTTTGCATCAGAAGTGGCCGCACTCGTGGGCGACACCTGATATCCTCCGGCGCCGGCACTCGAGTGCTGCTGTGCTTTGTGTTCGTTTCCATTCTCTTTGTCTTTCTTGGAGGACGAGCGCCGAACCAAACGCTTCTCTTTGGATGACGTCCTCCGCACCAACTGTTTCACCGAAGAGCTGGCCATCGATGACGGCATCGTCTGGTCGGCGGCTCTTCGGCTATTTGGTGTTGTGGTCGACGTAGAGGTGAATGAGTGCGAAGACGAAACTCCTTCTGTGGACACAAACGAGACAACAGAGCGTTAGTACGAGACAATTGGCCACAAATACCGACCACTACTTGTTGGATCCATTTTGAGGAACCATTCCGAACGAGTCTTCATGCGTTGAGTCTGTCTTTCGTGAACTATTGGCAAAAATGTGAGCGATTTTGTACTTTCGGCGTAACGGTTCACTGATTTGAGATCTTCTAAGTTGAGCGCCTCTTCGGTGACTGTTCGCCAATTCGCTTGTGTTGGTTGTGATGTCTGCTGATTGTGTTGGTTCTGATGCATCATTACTGACACTATTGTCTGCGGAGAGTTGGGCGATGAGTGCGTCGACTGTTGGCATGTGAGCACCAAATGGTTAGTCTCAGCACTGAGACAATGGATGCATACCTTGAACACCGTCTCCTCCAAAGACATCGAGAGTCGGGCGTACGTGTCGTCAATGTTTTGGTGCGTCATTTGGATGGGCGGCGAGTGGGGGCCCGTCGATGACGAGGAGCCCGTCGCACACAGAGTGGGAGTACTCTGACACTCGTCCGTCGACGAGAGCGCAGTGTTGTGGTGGTGAGTGTCGGGCGGGTATTTGAACGCAAAGATCCAGTTCTCCTCCACTTTGAGGACTCGTCCGGAAATCCTTGCGTAGTATTCGTAGTTATCTCTGCCGAAGAGATTACTGACGCCGAAGTTGTCGACTATATATGGAGTAAACGTTTGTTATAATGACTGACAATGATTGAGGCCATCAGCGACTCACTCAAGAACTTCATGATAGCGGTGGCCATCGAGATCTGAGCCTTGAAGCGCTGCACGTCCTCTACTTTGGCGAATTTGGAGCCGTCCTGAACGCAACACTGGAAGAAAGAGGGCGCGACCGACACTCCGATCGCCTCCGAAGTCATGCCGGTGTTGGCGCGCTCTGAAGACGTGGCCATCGCTCGGAAGGTCCCGAACAGAAGCACCAGNGGCAATCATACAGAGGACTAAAGAGTGGTGAGTAATCCAGTGACTCACTGGCAGTGAGTAATAGAGGTTTGACTGTATGTATAAAAACTTGCAAATCAAGTCTCTATCGATTCATTCATGCATTTCCACTGTTTTACAGTAAACCTTTGCATACCTGTGCAGTTGGCGTATGTGTGCTAAACAGGTGGGCATTAGTGGTCCCTTTTGAGACAGTGTACGCTCGTGGGCAGAGGTGTTCGAAAAGGTATGCGTGTCTGAGTGCTGGTTAGGGTGTTGTGTGTTAGCGTTTCATGCATTGTTGTGTGACAATAGGACTCGCATTGATTGTTCAGCGTTTGCATTGACTGTAAGCCACAAACACAACAAAATGGTTGACACGAGAAGTAGTCATCTCTGGATTAGTCAAGTGTTTCTCATATGAAGTGATGGTCAGACATAACGGCATAACAAACACTCATTAATAATGCAATTAATTGTCGTCTCATTGCGTATAACGACTACTCATCCACTCATTCATTCACTCATGTGTTCAGCGATCAAGTGATCACTAGTTTTGCGAAATTCATTCACTTTTTGATGCTTTTTGTGATGAAAACATATATTTTCCAAAAGTAATACAAACAACACAAACAACTGCAACACATCTGTGAAGCAATAATTAGTTCATTAGTGAGTATTCATACATATCTCTAACACAACCGTCTGTACGACACATGCTGTCTGTCACTCATTCACTACCTGTGCCTCTGTTTGCCATACATTCACTCACAAGACACGACTACTGGCCACCAGTCGGGCCACCAATCGGTGCACTGTTGCCGCCAATTGTGTCCAAACCCTCCCATCAATCGGCGAAAGTGTGTTACTTTCAGTAGTGTTGAGTCGAGTTAGTGGACGCCCGCCTCCCCCTCCCGTCAGGTGTGATGTATTACCCGTGAATGGCCAGTGATTGCTGTATCCTAACCCTAACCCTAACCCAAACCCTAACCCAAACCCTAACCCTAACCCTAACCCAAACCCAAACCCAAACCCATAACCCAATACTCCATAGCCATAGCCGCTCGAGTGTCGGACAGCCTCTGCTCTACTGACGCAATGAATGTCTGAGTTATGCGTTGTTTATGAATGACTTGTTTTGATTGCAGCTCTCAGTCACTAACACATCACCAATAGATCCCAAGAACTGAATGTTAGGCCCAAACGCGTCTCATAACAGCACTACTAATGAGTGTATGCGTGGAGTGAGTGTCCGGTGACCACAGCTGAGGAATGATGTCATCTCTGGCCCGACGAATGGCCACCTCTTCGCTGTGCGGCGCTTCGCAGACCCAACACTCGGCCACGACGTCGACAGCCCTGCCCTACCCGACGCGCATGGAAAAGGTTAAGTTCGGCATTCCTCTGGAGACGGTGTGCGGCGTCCACAACGACATCCCCGGACCCCTACTCGTCATGATTCTGAAGCTCAACAAAGAGGCGCCGTTCAAGAAGGATGTGTTCCGAGCGCCCGGACATCAGGCGAATATGAAGAAGTTGGTGCACTTCCTCCAGAACGGACGGCTCGTCAATATTGACAACTATTCCGTTTATACGATCGCTTCTGTGCTCAAGAAGTTCCTGCGAAAGTTGCCGTCCGGTGTGTTCGGCCCCGAGAGGGAGAGCCGTCTCTTTCAGATCATTGAGTGGCAGAACGCCGACGACAAGCGCCAAGAGATGCACCGAATCCTGACATCACTGCCAGTCGTGACGCAACACCTTCTGGTGCTTCTGTTCGGGACCTTCCGAGCGATGGCCACGTCTTCAG